GGTCACGGCGTGGGGCTCCCCCTGCAGGTCCCCCGTGCTGTGGTACACGTGGTAAGTGTTCCCGCTCAGCCGGGCAAAGTCGTGGATCTAGAGGGCAGTGTGAGGTCACAGGGACAACCTGACCTTCAGCCCCTCCTGGATGTCCCAGCTGACCTCTAGAGTGACCAGCTGCACAGGCCTCTCTTCATCCAGGAGGGAACCCCATATACCCTGCCTGGGCGCCTGAAGGGCTGGGGGCAGCCAGCTGTGCATCAAGCTGCCAGGACGGGTGAGGTTTGCTCAGCTGGGTGGGTGGCTAAGGCCCGGGGAGGCAGGCGGCCAGGAGGGGAGGCAGGAGGCCGGGAGGGGAGGCAGGAGGCTGGGAGGGGAGGCAGGAGGCCATGTCACCAGTTGGGCCTCGCCTCCTGCCCTCTGGAGCCTAGGGGCACGTGACCTCACCTTCCCCCGACACTCTCCTGTGGTGGGCCCACTGCCTTAGAGACCTGCCAAGTCTCTGTGCTGTGGAGGGCAGCAGGAAGACTTGGGTGTCTCAGAGATGTGCCAACAGAGGCCCAGAGGGACAGCGCCCGCTGGGCCCCACAGCACAGGAGGGGACCAACTCTGCTCGTGGGCTCCCTAGTCCAGGGCTCTTTAGGGCCCCCAGACCCTTTTCTAAACAGGGACGTTGAACACAGGGGAGAGAAACAGGCTGCAAAGGGACAGCCACAGAGAGGCCCGAAGAGGAAGACCTGCCTCTGGACACCTGGGCACCAGCCTTACAGACAGTCCCCCCACCCAAGCAGAGCACAGAAGCAAGGCGTGGGGCCGGGGAGAGCCAGGCGGCCGCCCCAGGAGAGTGCCCCCACCCCTCTCCCACCTCACCTCCTTCTGGATGGTCAGCTCCAGCCTCTCCGCCTGGCTCCCAGGACCCAGGCCCCGGAGGTTCTCATGAAGGTTCTGCTTGTCGCGAGGTGTGTAGGACACGAGGTCCTCGCCAGCACGCAAGAACAGCACGGGCTCCTCGCGCACGCAGAAGATGACGCACTCCTGCCGCGAGACGGCCACCCGTCACCAGGCGGGGACCTCGCCCTGCGCAGCCTCTGCCCGGCCGCTCCTCTCTCCTCCAAGGCCCAGCACCCACCCTGGACCCTGCCACCTGAATCCTCCCCGACAGACAGCTCAGTCCAGTCGCCTGCTCCACCACCCAGTCAGCAGGAGCCCCCCAGGGCCAGCGTCCTTTATGGCTCTCGGGCTCTCCAGTGCAGAGGCCTGCTGTGTTCCAACAGGAGAGCCCACAGTGCCTGGACAGGACCCCAGATAAATCAGGGGCTCGATGACATCAGCTGAAGAAATGTCTGTCCCCACCCCGTGCCATCAGCCATCGAGCACCCACAGGCAGAGAGGGTGGGACTTCAGTCAGGTTGGGAGGGGAGCCACGGGAGCCACGGGAGCCCACCCGGCCCTGGTTCACGGGGCCTCCCCACCTACAGGGCCGCTCAGACGCTCCTGTCCTCTGTCCCTGCAGCCAGAGCGCTGCCCTGCCAGCTCTGTCCTGGAGAGGCAAACCCCACCTCCCTCAGGTAGGCAAGGGGAGTCGCTGAAAATGAGCACTTGAGCTGGGCGCGGCGGCTCATGCCTGCAATCCCAGCAGCTCCGGAGGCTGAGGCAGGAGGATCAAGAGTTCAAAGCCAGCCTCAGCAACTCAATGAGACCATGTCTCGGAATAAAATATAAAAAGGGCTTGGGGCTAGGGTTGTGGCTCGGTGGTAGCATGGCCCTGGGTTCTATCCTCAGCACCACATAAATATAAAACGAAGATATTGTGTCCACCTAAAACTAAAAAATAAATATTAAAAAAAAAAAAAACGGCTGGGGACGTGGTTTAGTGGTAAAACACACAGGCTCAGTCCCTGGTACAAAAAGGAAGGAAGGAGGGCGGGAAGGAGGGAAGGAGGGAAGGAAACAGGCACTTGGGGTCTAGCTGCCTGGGTTTGGGTCTTGGGGCAAAGCTGTGTGACCTTGAACAAGTCACTATTCTCTCCAGGCCTTAGTTTCCTCCTCTGCAAAATGGGCCTGGCAGCTGCTCCCTTAGGGTTGACAGCACGATTCATGTCAGCTGCGATCATCTGGCATCTCTTGTGTTATGACCGGGCCCATGTCACCCTGTCACCCCCTCCCTTCCTCCTAGGCTCTCAGAACGGCTCGGAGTTCCCACATCCACACAGGACACACGATGAACATCTGGCAGAATTCCCAGCCGTCAGAATCACCCACCACAAGGACCACCATGGCAGGCAGTCGAGGCCTGATGCAGGCCCCGCCGCCTTCCCGGGCCTGTGGCCAGGCCCCTCCAGAGCCTCAAAGCTGCCCCTCCCTGGAGCCCTCCCTGGAGCCCTCCTAGGTCGGGGCTGGACTGGAAGCGGCCTACTTTACCTTGTGTCCGTCCTTCTGAAGTTTCTGGAGGACGCGCCTGAATCCCAGGAGGCTGGGCTGCCCCATGCCAAACACAGGGAACCCGCCGCGCCCTTGCCGGAAGTTGGGGGCCCCGCAGCTCTCCGAGGTGCCCAGCACGTCCACCTTCTCAGGAACATCCCGCACCAGGAAGTATCGACCCTGGCAGGGGACAGCCACAGCAGAGTCACTCAGGGACCCGGGGAATCTTCCACAGGCAGGGCTCTGCCCTGGACTCCAGGGGACACGGAGCAGGGAAGAGGGGGAAGGGACATGCTCTGCCCTGCATCCCTCTGTAGGCTCCCAAGACATCGGTGTTGGGAAGGTGTCCCAGGGCAGGGGAGAGGGAGAGACCACCCTCCTGGGAGCATCAGGAGGGTCCGGGGCCAGGCTTGGAGGAAAGACAGGGAGAGGGGTGGCTTAAGGGGGCTCCCCCAGAAGAGGGCAACGTCCCCGCCTCCCAGGGGCACATGTGGAGAAGGGACTCCAGGAGGGGGTCACATCTGTGGCACCTGATGAGCCAGAGCTCAGACCCTGCCCGGCCCGGCCAGCTCTGGGGTCCAACGGGAATGGCCAGCAGAGGAGGGAGGAAACCCGGCCCAGCCCCCGGGCGAGAAGCAGGAGGAGCAGGAGGAGCCCTTCCCTGGGCAGAAAGAGCCCTGGACCTTCCCGTGCCTCCCGGGCCCCCAGCAGGCCCTGGCCTGGGACAGATGGGAAGGGGAGCCGGCACCCCGGACTAGCCAGAACGTCCCGGAGCCGCTGTGGGCAAGCGCAGCCTGTCCCCATTCCCGCGGCTCAGCACCCGCTGCGTCCACCCCCTCCACCCAGCCAACGGGAGACCAAGACGTCCGCCCGTGGCCTGGCTCTCTGGGCCATCCTTTACCTGGGCCCCCTAGTCAGACAAGTCCAGAACTTTGAAAAGAACAGAGGAGGCTCTCAGCTGGGGAGCCTGTGGCCACTAGGCCCATCTCCACTGCCTGGCACTGAGGAGGGAGGAAGGGGCCTGGCAGGGAGCGAGTGGGAACCACGGGGCGCAGACGGGGGGCAAGCTGCTGGCCTCTGGGAAGGGGTGAGGCCCTGAGGGAGGCAGGGGGGGGAGGAGGGCAGAGGAAGATGGGGGAGGGACCCCGAGGCGGGTAGGGCTGGCCTCACCTGCACCAGGTAGTGCTCCGGGGTGGCATCCGAGAGGCGGCCCAGCGTGTAGTGGGCCTTGAGCAGCTCGTCGTGGATCTGGAACTCCTCCCTGCAGTTGTACCTGCCAGGGGTGGGGTGCAGCCAGGTCAGACATTTGTCCACTCCAGAGCCACAAGAGGCCACCCACCCCTGGCCCGCAGCTTCCCCTCTGGGGCACAGACTGCCCATCCTACCCCAGCGGCCACTGTCCCCTTCTTCCTCAGACACAGAGCCCAGAATTGTGGTGGGACTGGGCCGCCCCACTGTGGACTGACGTCCAGCCCCCGTGCAGCTGGCTCTGGTCACGGGATCGGCCCTGGCCAGGGAGGAGTGGGCAAGTCCGGGGCCACCCCCAGAGGGAAGGCCTTCTGACCCAGAGGCGACAGCAGAAGCAGAACAGCATCCCGGGCCACAGGACAGAAGGTACAGCCCAGGACACTGGTGCAGACAGAGGGAACCTGACGGGCCGCGCAGCCACACCAGCCCAGGGGTCCAACGGGAATGGCCAGCAGAGGAGGGAGGTCCCCCTGGGGGGTCACCTCAGTACAGTGGCCTTACCCCCACAGGGGCTGGTCAGCATCACCCCAAGACCACACTCCCTGGAGGAACCACGCCTTCGGCAGACACAGAGACACTCGAGGGCCCCCGGGTAAGGCCACCCAGCATCCGGGACACAGAGCCACAGCACTGATGGTGACAGCACGCAGCAGGGCCTCCCAGAGTCTTGGCCTGGTGCTGGGGCCCCCCTACCAGAGGCCGGCCTTCAGGAAAGGCTGGGAAGGGCAGGGCAGGGCAGGCAGCACCGACAGGGGGTCTGGAGACCAGCCCCTGCTGCTCTGCCTTGGAGCCACCTGGCGGGGCAGGCAGGCCACCTGCATCCAGATGGGTCTTTGGCTCTGCTCTGGGAGGCATCCCATCGGGTTCTGCAGAGCTCCTCTCCAGAGGACGAACAGTGAGCACGTGGGCTCTGGGCACGTGGCCTCAGGGACAAGCGCTCAAGCTGCCACAGAAGTGACAAGGAGGAACAGTGTCCAGTAACAATCATGAAGAGGTGACGGGCAGAGTCAGCCTGCAGGGTGAGGGTGCCAGTCCTCCACCGCATGACCCCCAAGGGTCCTTCAGCCTCCAGCACTCCGCTGGCCAAGGAGGCAGTGCTCAGAGGGCCCCAGGCCACACACGGTGCCTTGAGCTGGGTCTTTACAGCTGGCCAGCAGCCATTCAGGGCCCAGCACTTGGTAAAATATTTGATATCATCTCTGATTACACTGATAGGAAAACTGAGGCCCAGAGAGGGCAAGAGGCTTGCCCTAGGTCACAGAGCACAGGATCTCGCTAAGTTGCTGAGGCTCCTGTCAAAACAGAGACTCCCTGCATCCCTCTCTGCATCCTCCCTTTATCCCAAACACAGTAATGTATTGTGATGACACCCTCCTGCCAGGCCCTGGGCCCCAGGCAGGTTTCAACCCTCATAGAGTCTCCACCAAAATTCTACGTGTACAGCGTATTTAATGCTCTGCTCATGGGGTCCCCTTCCCCACCGCCTGGGAGGCCCAGCTGCAGAGGAGCAGGGTGGACAGGCGTGGGGAGCGCACCTTGTCCAAGCCGCCCTTGGGGACAGCACGGGTGCCCAGCACAGCCCTTGCACAGGCCTTTCCGTTTATTTTCTTTAATATACTTTACCCTTTAGTTGGACACAGTATCTTTATTTTTTGAGGTACTGAGGATCGAACCCAGGGCCTCCCATATGTTAGGGGGGCGCTCTACCGCTGAGCCACAGCCCCAGCCCTTTTCCTTTCTTATTTCGAGAAGGGGTCTCCCTGAGTTGCTGAGGCTGGCCTCGACCCCGCCTCCAGGGCCAGAGCTGCCGGGAACACAGGCCCGCACCGCCACCACCCAAGGCCCCGCGTTGACCCATCCTTTACCGCACTTTGGGCCATAATTACCGACTTTGAAAGAAAACGTCTATATTCCATGTATCTAAATATATACACTTCCTTGGAAAATGTTTAGTCAAGTTATTTTCAAAGGGATGTCCCCTCCCGCCCCTCCCCTTTCTCCACACTCTGACGCGGAGGAAGTGGTAACAGGGGCTCAGGGAGTCACAGCAGAAACCCAGCTCTGCTGCCTGCTGGCTGGGCGTCTCCAGAAAGACCGCTTACCCTCTCTGGGCTCAGTGAGTTCGCGGGTATGAAACGGAAAGCCGCACCTCCAGGGGTTCCCGGGGGCGGGTCCTCCAGGATCATGGCCACGCCCACCCGCTACTCACGTGATCACGACCGGGGCCACCTTGTTGGGGATGATGGACTTGGCCTTGCTGTTGTGCACGCTCATGGTCTGGAAGGAGTGGACGCTGAGTGAGGGCCGCCCGTCCACCGCGCCGCCGCCCTGGAGGCCTTCGAAGGGGGCACCTGCCGGGACCGTCTGCTGGGCTGTGCTGGCCGTCGTACCCATAGTCCGCGGGCAGCCTCAGGACCCCAGACCTGCGGGCGAGAGGGTGTGCGGGGTGGGAGGGGCCTGAGGACTGGCAGGAGGGGACCGGCCGCCCAGGCCCTGCCACCTCCAGGGAGCAGGAGCGCAGACGGATGGGGCTCGGAGTCACAGGCTCACTGACCCCAGCCGTCAGCGGGCCTGCTGGTGCCTCAGGGAAGTTACAGACAGGGACAGGAGGACCGTGATCTTCACACTCCCCTGGAAAAAATAAGACAATTGGGAGGGATTATCTGGGGTCAGCGGCTGAGGGGAAAGTACCAGGGCAGAGGTGTGCCGAGGCGGTGCCACTGGAAATGAAGGGTTTGGGGGACAGGGCGCAGGAGGACAGTCTCCTTAGGGGGTGGGGTCGCAGCACGAATCCACAGGTCCTCCTTGCACAGAGACAGAGGCCATGTCACCCCCTCTGTATCATTCCTCCAAGGGAGTGAGCAGGGAGACACCCAGACAGCTGCTTTAGTCCTCGACTTCATTTCATTTTAAGATTGCATTTCATCTTTGCAGCCGGAGGGCTGGAACCCGGGCCTGGCTAGTGCGCACTAGGCGGGTGCCCTACCACTGACCCACACATCCCCAACCCCTGTTATTTTTTATTTTGAGACAGGCTCTTGCTAAGCTGCCGAGGCTGACCTCAAACTTGAGATCCTCCTGCCTCAGCCTCCTGAATGGGATCCCAGGTGTGCGCCACAGCCCAGCTCTCTACACCGTGAACGTCATAAAGGGAGGCCAGCGTCACCCAGACCAGCAGAGCTCAGCAGGTCAAGGCTCCAAGGAGCATAGCCCCGAGCTTGCAGCAGCACCCAAGTCAACACGGCCATAGCAGAAGCCAAGGCCAGCACGCATGGGGCACTCTGTCCACAGGAGAGACCTGGGCCTGAGTCCCAGGGGCCGCTGGGCGCTGTCTGAGAACAAAATGCTGGAAAGGCCTGCCGCCCTTAACCCCCAGGTGCCCGGTGCTCCCCAGGAGGCGCTTCCTTCCCCCTGTGCTCCCGTCTTCTCCTCTGATCACGGGGCAGGGCTGGCATCTAGAGCAAGAGGACAGGGACAGCCCTCTGGAGCCGGGGACAGGGCTCAGCAGACAGAGAGCCAGGCCCTGGGAAGGAGGTGCTGGGAACCTCACAGAGGGCAGGAGACATGGACGTTCCAGGAGCTCAGCAGCCGCGGGCACCCGGGGACAGCCCCACTCTGCAGCCTTACAGACACTCCGGCTGCTTTCAGTGGGGCCCAAGGCCCGCATCACCAGGGGGGCTCTGTGCCCCAGCAGCACCTCCAGTCACCAAGGGGGTCACAGACCCGCACAAGGCCAGCCGCCCCAGAGCCACCCCTGACCCTGGGGTCTCCTGTCAGGGGTCTCCTGTCTCTCTGGAGACAGGACACTGACCACCAGGCTCACGGGCCCTCCCGGAGCCTGAGCCAGGCCAGCTCCTCTCCCTGAAGCCCTCCCCGTCTCCCCTCACCCCTGAAGCCCCAGGACAGCTCTGTGGAGAGCGCACCCCGGTCCCCAGGAGCCGTCCCCCCTTCACCCCCAGTTCTCCCCCGCCTTTATTTTCCCTCAAAGATGGTAAGAATGAGCCCCCACGTCCCCACACCAAAACACACGGTCAGAGAGGAGGAGGGGCTCGGTGGACCCCAGCTGGCTGTCGGCAGAGCGGACGGGTCCTCATGGCGGCTCTCACGGAACCTCCCAGACCCCTCCCAGCGTCCCAGGCCAAGGGGCCATGCATGGGAACGGGCTCAAACAGGGGAGGGGGCACAGGGAGAGGGCCAAGGGTGGACGCAGGAAGGGCCTGCAGGAGCACAGCTGGCCACAGCTGTCACCACTCCCACAGGGCGGGGCCCAACACCTCCACTCCCTGCTGGCCACATGGCCTCCCTTGCCCCCAGGCTCACAGGCAGTGACAGGCCCCGGCTGTGCCTGGAGGGGCAGCCAGGAGACCACACAGATGTGCCCAGCTGTGCTGCAGGGGGCGGGGCAGCCCGTGTCCCCTGAAAACTGACCCACCTCCAAAATGTTGGGAGGAGGACACAACCCAGGGCCTCTGGGCCAGCCAGAGTGAGCCTCGCCAGCGGAGCCCTGCCTGCCGGTCACATGCTACGGGGACTCTATAACCTCTTCCCTCTCTCTGGGCCTCAGTGTACTAGCCACGAGTAGACAAGGAGGGACGGAGTGGTCTGAAGGCCTCTTCCAGCTGTAGGTGCGTTTGGTTCCTGAGACTGATGGTCCTAGTGGCCGTACCACTGCTGTCCACTGCCAGGGACAGTGGTCAGTAAGCTCAGGGGTGTGGGTGGGCACCCTAGTGCCCAATCCCTTGAGGGGATACTGGAGTGGCTGGAATGAGGAGAGATGTCAGAGGAGGGGCCACAGGCTGCACGGTTTGGACAGTATTGTCTGCCAGTCATCTCGTATCACTATAACAAACTACCTGAAATAATCAACTTAAAAAGAGAAAAGGTTTATTTGGGTTCCCAGATTTGAAGTTTCAGCCCATGGTGGGTTGGTCCCACTCTTTTGAGGACTGGGGTGAGGCAGGACGTCACGGCAGGAGCCCACAGTGAAAGAATGCCAAAAGGAGGGTCTCTTGACCGCCAGACTTTCGTCATGGACTATCCCATCTAATCCTGACTGGGCCCCACAGATGCCAACTCTTACAACTCCATACCAAGTTCACACAAAACACCATTTAAACATGGACAAGACTCGAAAACTCATCTGGATGCCAAACAGGCTCATGAAAGGCCACTGAGCACCAGGAGCAGGGGTCACCTAGAATCCCAGCAATCAGGAGGACCAGGAGTTCAAAGCCAGCCTCAGCCACTGAGCCAGGCCCTAAGCAACTCAGCGAGACCCTGTCTCTAGACAAAATATAAAAAAGCTGGGGAGGGGGCTCCGTGGTCGAGTGCCCCTGGGTTTAAACCCCAGCACCAAAAAATACGGTAGAAGAAAAGGTCAAATAATGTGTTCTTAAAATCAGCTCCACCCACTCTTCCTGCCCTTTCAGTGTGGCTATTTGAAATGGCCCACGCGGCCCACGCTCCCTTTCTACTGGACAGTGCTTGAGTCTCCGTGGCCGGAGGGCAGCCCGGGGCAGCTGCAGGTCGTGGGCAGCTGCTGCGTGGGAGAACCTATCACAGCCTGTGACCACTCCCATTTTACAGAAGGAAAGGCAAAAACAGGATGGAGAGTGTCTGCAGTGATGTTGAGTGTCCAGCAGGGGCTGCGGCTGGGGGGTGGCCCTGGGGGTGGCCCTGGGTTCCTGTCTGTCTCGAGGGGCTCGTGGAGCCAGAGAGCAGCCAGAGAGCCGGCGTAGACCATCAGGCTCACTCAGGTGCTCACTGCTCGTTCAAAATTCTCCAAAATAAAAATATTGGAGTCAAAAGTTTTTTCAGAACTAAAGTTTTAAAAACCGATTTGGTTGAGCTGCCGTATAAAGACCAGGCGTCCACGGATCCCTCCTGGCTCCGCCTGGCGGCCTGAGAGGAAGCTGCGGGCCCCCAGGAGGCGCCCGGGAGCCAGGAGCCTGACCTCTGGTTGGTGATGTCCCCGCTGCGGCCACCTGGGTTTAAGAACCAGGGCCTGGATAAACACCCGGCTCCCGGCTTCTCCTGGAGGAGCCCAGGAGGGGCAGCCACGGGGCCGGGCCTCCAGGGACCCACCTGGCAACCCTGGCCCTCCCTGGCCCGAGTCCTGAGGCAACGCGCCCTGGTCCTGGACGGGCCCTGCTCCCCGTCAGGTGCCCTGGCGCCCCCAGCGCTTCTTCATTTTCCTGAGGCCTCTGAGCCCCCAGCCTCTGGCCACTCTCCTGGGAGCGGGCCTGTCCTTCCCCAGACCTGGGCCACACTTTCTTGGCATGCTGTGACCAAAGAGAAGAGGTGACCTGCCTCCTGTCCCAGCACTGCCCCTGAGCGGGCTCCTCCTCCCTGGGCCCTTCTCCTTTCCGGCCTGGGCTTGTGGCTCTCTGGCCCCAAGGCAGGACGTCCTGTTGGGGAAGGTCCCTGTGAGACGCTGCAGGCCCTGGTCCGGCCCAGCTGCCCAGCCAGGACCATCCTCTATGCCTTCATCCCCCAGAGGAGAGAGACTGAGCACATGGCCACCTTCCCCAGTCCCTGCAGACACTTGGGGCCACGTGATGAATCCGAGTAACAGGACATGCGAGCAGTGTCACATGCCAAACTCCAGAATCCTTCCTCATGAGATCTTTCCTCCCTTCTTCCATCCTGTGCCTGGAACCCAGATGTGATGATGGAAGGTTTGCAGCCATCTTGAACCACGAGCCCATGAATCCACGCCCCAGGAATGGTGGAGATCAAGTTCCCCAAAAAAACCGTGGAGCAGAGCCATCGCACCAGGCCTGCAAAGCTCTGGGCTCGGACAGGACAGAGAAATAAACTTCCATCTTGTGTAAACTACTGCTGCTTGGCTTTTCCTATTACTTGCAGCCAAATCTAATCCTGACTAATGCACCCTGTTATTTTTAGGTTTGACCCTCAATGACCACATGCCGCATGGCCACAGGACAGGGCTTACTCCTTTCCCCTCATGCAGAACGTCGAGTTTCCCTGCCAGTGGACAGGCCGTGCTGTGGGCGGTGGGCCACACGCGGGCGGAGAGTCCCCAGGATCCAGGAGCCAACTGTGAGGAGGCCACAGAGCAGAGGAGACAACCCTGGACGCCAGGGCCTGGTGGGCAGCTGAGGAGGCGCAGCTGCGAGGCCATGAGGGCACCATCCACTTCTAGGTGTGGCACAGGGGCTCTACCCAGGATGCCCCAGAGATCTAGAAAGTTCCACGGAGCAGAACATCTGCTCCACGCCAGACACAGACATGGCCCC